TAAATTAACTAGACATTGCTAAGATAATTAGCTAAGGAAATTAAATTTTCTAACATGATTGGCACACACTAACACTTGAGATACTTCTAAAATGCTCCTTTTGTGCATATACGTTGAGTTCGAAGTTTTTCTGGACCAGAAAACACTATTGCCAAATATTCAATACTCGGCCCAACATTTGGCCCACTTAAATCATACCAATTATATCTAACAATCATGATTATATATATTATGGACACATAGGCTTAGGGCTTAGATCATGATTGTGGGGTAAATTCTTAGCTATACACTGGTGTAGAAAAAATAATATTAAGTGGATATCCGCTAACTCTTCCACTCACTTTAAATAAATGGACGAAAATCTGAATTAAATAGATGAGAAGCGGGTGACGGATGAAGCAGGTGATAAATCGGATTGGATGTGAATGATACTTTTTTTACCAGTTAACCATTCACCTACCTGTTTAACATATATTAAATTTTTAATCAAAGAATTTTAATTATAAAATATGAAATGTGCAAGAAAATTACTTGTTTTTTTTTTGTTACAAATTAATTTTTCAAACAATACGTTGTTATTGTTTCCTTTTTTATTAAGAAAATAAAAAAATTACTGTGTAAATAACCGAAAATTAGAGTTTATGTGGGTTTTTTTCACTTTAATACTAATCCATTAGTCCTCTGCTCCACCCGTTTCATCCGTAGATGATGGACGGACGGATATAAATGATGGGTGAAGCGGGTGACGGATGGATGTGGATGGAGCGATTAGAATAATGGATGTATGCGGGTGAAGCTCCACCCGATCCGAATTCAATCAATTGTCATCTCTACACTTGTGTAGCTAAGCTAGCTACAACAAGAATATATATGAACATATAGCAGTTGAAAAATGAACATATGTTTTTTTTTCCATTCCTTTTATCTTAACTCTCTCTCTTCTTCTTTCTTTTCTCTATTAATTTTCTCTCTCCTTTGTTTTCTGCTCCATTCGAAATTTTTTCTCTCCTCTTTTTTTCCTTTTCTTATAGGTTAGTTTTCTTTCTTACCTCACTTTCGTTCAAGTTTTTTTTTTTGACAGAAATTTCGTTCAATCTTTAAACTTTCTTGTCTTTCTACTTCGGATATTCTATAATTCGTCACCATTATAGCATTCTCCATTGTCATTATCTTCATCGCGATCGTGAATGTTGAGGTAATTTTGAGGGTTATTTTTTGTGTTTATAAATATGTGAATGTCAAAACAATTTTGCAATTGTGATTCCTAATCTATTATGTTATTGATCCATAATTATTGTGTCTATGATGAATCAAGATTAGATTTAAGTTGGGTATTCAAATTTTTAGAGTTAAAATAATTAATATCAAACTTGTGTATAATTTCTGTAAAAATAAAAAATAAAAATATATATATGAACACATAGTATTTTAAAATTGAACATTTAGTACTTATGAACATATTTTAATAATTTATTTTATCTTTATTTTTCGTTAACAATTATATACCATGATTTTGAACCTATATGAATATATGAAAATCATGTTCATTTTTAATATACTAATCTTCATTTTTTTTTTTGTACTTTTTAAGTGTTCATTTTTTTACGTGTTTATTTTTGTATACTAAATGTTCATTTTATTTAACGTGTTCATATATTATTATGAAGTGTTCATTTTATTAGGTATGGTCTAGTTATTCAATGATTGTATGGTATATTTTCATTTTTAATATACTAAATGTTCTTTTTTTTTTTTTTTACGTGTTCACTTTCTATTACTAAATGTTTACGGGTTCATTTTTCTAATAATTACTAGATGTTCATTTTTTTTTTTATTTTTTTTTTTTTACATGTTCATAAATTTTTTTTTTTTTTTTACTAAATGTTCATTTTTATGGTTGTGGTCCAACAATTTTATAATGATATGATAATCATATTTATTTTTAATACTAAATGATCACTTTTTTAACATGTTCATTTTTGTTTATTTGTTCATATTTTACAAATGAATGTTTTTTTTTTTTTTTAACGTGCTCATATTTTTTTTATCTAAATGTTCATTTTATATGGTGTGGCTACACTAATGTGCAGCTAAGACTTATTGGTGACTGAGCAATTCTTTTGAAATGTGTGACATAACACAACATGATACTTAACTAATGGGTTAGATGGTGGGCTATGTAACATGGACTTTTCATTTCTCCTCAAATACCCATATTGGATCTTTGACTCTCAAACATGGGTATGAAGGAGGGTATGACTCTTGACTACATCACTTTTAGTTCAAAATCATAGATTTTTTTCACGATACTTGACACGTACTTGTTTCGAACATGGGTATCCGACTACCTGAGTTCATTTAACATAGGTTATCCCCAAGATACACATGCTTAACATAAGACACAAGTCACAACTCACACAACATAACACAACCCCATATCATCTACTAAGTTCACACAAGCCTACCCTTAGTGCAACAATTTGCAAATGAGACTTTAAGAGCAAAATTAGCCCATACATTATTATAACAAGAATTTTAAAGTGGGACACATTATTATTACGGGTATGGGCTAATCTTGCTCTAAGGGGTAGAATTTAAAAGTGTTACGACACATTATTATAACTATAAAAATGGATCCCCATGCATTTTCTCTAAATAATGTCACAAAAAACATTGGCTTAAAGTGAAAACCATTTTTAAAGTTTTTTTATTTTTATAAGATAAATATCTCAAAAGGTAAAACCACTTAAAGTACAAGTGTAAAAAAGGGCTAGAGAAAGATAAGAGGTCCAATAATAATTTTACAGAATATTGAAACTAATCTACAAATTAACGTAATTTAGGAAGAGATTAGCAGGTTAATTGGTAGGTTAGGGACTTAGGGTACAGCAAGATTAGATGCCCATTTCATCACTATATATACTAAGGTTTTTACTTTTCTAAGAGTACATCTAATTTGAACCATACACATGCATCAAGCATATAAACAGAGGTTCTAAAAGTTACATTATTTTATATTTCTCGTTCAAACATTCGAATAATAATAGTCATATTCATTGTTTAATCTTTGAATTTGAAGATTTGTTATACATGCCACGCACCAACGATTCCTCTAAAGCACTAAATATAGTGATATTTTTAATGGTAATGTGGTGATCACTACTTTGATTGTGTCGTTGATACCATGATATATATGACCATGATCTTTTGGGTCATGTAACGAATTGAGATGAAGGGTGAATGAGCGGAAGGAGAGTAGGAGAGAAAGGGATGTTTTATGTAATACGAAGTATAAGAAAACACGAAATTGTCCGGCTATCTAAACAAGGAAGAGAGTTCGAGAATCAGTTACAAGTCCAATAAAGCTTCATACTAAAATTAATTAATTGCTGATAATATATAATAGGAATAGCTCATTTCTCTAACTTATAAGGGTATTATTCTCCTATCTTTCTCCCTCATGTCACATGAGAACTCTGCAAAGGAATTTCGACAATTGATAAAAAAAAAAAAATAGTTGAAAGCGAAGTTTTAATAAGTATATAGAATGAGATATATATGTTGTGAGTTATGATAACAAATGGGTTCCAACTTATTGCAAAATATTGTGTTTGGTGTCCAAGTTTTTTTTACTTAGTGTTTGGGGTCTATGGAAGAATTTCCGGTGAGTTAAGGTTAACTCACTGTTAACCATATACGAAAAAAGTTTGACCCTTGTTAAAAAGCTAGACCCCTTAACAAATAAGTTAGTCTCCTAAGCTAATAATTGAATTCAATTATAACAACAACTAATAATTGTCATAGTAATATTCCAAATTCATCAGCTTATACTGTCACCTTTTTTTTTTTGAAATCTTATCTCATGCTTCTACCCTTATTTTAGAAAATCCCAATACAATGAAGAATAAAAATGATTTTATAAATAATTCTTATGTTATTTTATATCAGTTTTTATTTTTATTTTTTCAAAAATCTTCTTTTGAAATCTAAGTGCATAAAAAAGATTCATATTTTATTGATTTCATTTGAAATTTGATTAGATATTAGAAGATCTTTTGTTAGTTTAATTCTAAATATTATTCCAGCCCGTTTTGTGTGTGTCTGGTCACACAGTGTGGCCGATTGTAAGAGAACAAAGTAACCCCTATAAAGTTATAACACTAACAAAGTAACCCATGTAACACTGACTGAGTAACTCCTGTAACACTGACTAAGTATCCCCTATAACTTTTTTTTTACAAGAGCAAGTAACCCCTATAACACTGACTAAGTAACCCCAATAAGTCAGTAACACTAACAAAGTAACCTCTATTATAGCAAGTCACACAGTGTGGCCAACCACATATAAGAGTTTGTGATATTCTTTTCAATTTTACACTATTTAAATTAAGGAAAATGTCTAAAAATAAATATTATGAAATATAATTAATTAATTTATTTATTTTTTCAAAATCTCACATATTTATTAAAATGAAATATGAATTAAATGATCTTATAAGCTAAATATGTATTGAAAAGTACGTCAACACTGCCAAAAAAACACAACAATAAGTTAAATTTATAATAACCTAATATATATAGTCGGTCTCGCAGCCAGGCCATGAGACCGCGACACTTGATATTTCACTTTTTCGCCAAGTGTCACGCCACGTAGACGAAAAATAGGTATTATTGTGACACATATGATGCTAATTAAGCGAAGTTTGGATAGAATTTGTAAGATAAAAATATCGTATAGAATTTTATCATCGATAAGCTTCTAATATTTCATATTACAAAATTGATCATAACTTTTAATAAATATCCAATAACTTGATTATATTTTCATTATAAAATTCGTTTTAAAAAGTTCTTTAAAATAATATCCGTTTATATTATATTTAATTTATTTAAGAAAATAATAGTAGAGAATCAATTTATATAATTTCAAGTTAATAACAACATAGATTTCTATTTACAGACAAAATTACTAAAAATACGATATTAGTATGTCTAAATATCTTGCATTATCAAAAAGGATTACTACATAACCGTATATAAAATTCAAGCCAAAAATTAACACTAATATTTTAAAACAGGAAGTTGGAAGGACACTTGTCCTCTTCCTGTTTTTCCTGCTTTAAAAATATTTCTGCTTTTTCTTTTTTTTAAAAAAAGAACATTTTTTTCCATTTTTTTAATACTTTTTTTTTTTACAAAAAATTCTCAATCAAACGTTGTTTCTAATTTCTATCCTCTTTTTCCTTCTATCCCAATTCCCAAATGATGTATCTGTTCGGTTTCAAAAAAAAAAAAAAAAATACGATGTATTTGTTCTTATCAGTTTGTAATCCCCAAACTACGCTATTATCCTCTAATTCCTCCCTTAAATATTCATAGATAAATTGATTCCAAATTCTTCACTACTACTTTATCAATCATCTTTTTCTCTCCTCACAATTTAATCTGATTTTTCAAGGTTAGTTATGATTTTCCTTCTCTTGAATTTCTCATATTTTTTAAACAATTCCTTTTCTGATAATTGTGTTGATTGATGGTGTTGAGGCAAAAATTCTTCAATTTGTTGATTAAAATGTTGTTTTTGGCTGCAGGGAAATGATAAATGGATTTAATTGATTGAATGTTGGTGGTGTTGAGGCGACAATTCTTCAATTAATTGGTAATGAATTTAGTTTTTCTTCCCTAATTTAGTTTTACCAATGAATTTAATCAGTATTCCCTCTTTACTACCCTTAATTAAATTTGGGTTAGAATACTATCTCTCTTGCCTTTTCTCATTCCCGGTTTGGAGTTTAATCAATTATTTTATTTTTCAAGGTGTTTCCTTATTTTGATTCTACTTTTTATTTTTGTTTTTTTTTTAAAAAAAAAATTATTAGAAATTTGAGAACATTTTGTCTCAGGTGTTTTATATTATTTTTTCAATTTCTATATGGCTTGTTTAGTCGATTTGTTAGGACAGAAATATATTTTGTGTTTTTTTTTTTTCCCAAAAACATGTTTCATATGCGTTAAGGTTGAATTTGTTCTGATTCTATGTTTTTTTTAAATCTTACAGTATTGAAAGGATTGAACATGTATGGTTAGTTTAAGTTTATAAGGCGATGTTATTACAAATTTATTTTGCTTTAAGGATGATAGAAAGTTTTATTTCATTTGATATCTTCCATAATTTTCTGGGCTAGATGCATGAATAATGTTGTTTGTTCCCTTGATTTTGTTCTCTATTTTAACTCTTTTTTTTTTTGTTAATGAAGATTAATATTATTATTTGATGGGTTTATTTTTTTAAGAAATACATTGATGAATACCTCTATTGTAATTATTTTTTTTAAGAAATATCATAATGAATTCCTCTGTATAATCCCCCTTTTTTTTGTTGACAAATGAAAATCAAATTCAATTGTATCTATAATATAGTTTCATTTTATTTTTGGATCATTAGAAGGTGAGGTAGGCATGGCTATTCTCCGAAATTTAGTGATTCTAAATGTACTATTTTGAAGTAATAATAGTTTACTTCTCTAAAATTTATACTTGACAAAATTCATATGAAAAATTGGTAGGTTGATTTGGTTTACTTCTCTAAGTATTGTTGATTTATTTTTTTATTAATTGTGATTTTGTGTGTTTTGCAGGTGAAATTCATTATTCAACAACTGAACAATATATTGGATGGTAGCTACATCAAAGATTATTTATATGATTAGTTATGTACAAATGATTGTATATTCCTTTGCATTTTCAATAGTGTTAAATAATATAATAATCAAAATTGAAAGTATTAGTGTTTAATTATTCTTAATGATGTTTTTGGATGCATAAATAAAAATATAAATTGTTCTTGACGGTCAATAAACACGCATATTTCTTATGATATAATACAACTTTTTAATTAAGAATAATGAATTAAATTATAAGTAGTATTTCTACAATGCAATTTATATAAACATATAATTTGAATTGAATCAAATGTAGAGCAATCCAAGTGTACAATACAATAAATCTTTAATCAAATTATTCAAAAATATTTAACTAGCAAGTTTAACCAATGGATCGCAAGGGCTAAATACTATTTTAACCATAAAAGTTTATCAACCATATGCATTTCATTTTTTTGTCAAGTGTCACACCACATAGGTGACAAATAGGTACTACTGTGACACATGATGCTAAGTAAAAGAATTTTGGATAGATTTTTTAAGATAAAATTGTTATAAAGAGTTGTATTAGATATACATCTAATATTTTATAGATACAAAATTATCATAACTTTTAATAAATATCCTATAACTTGGTTCAAAGAAGATCCATATTGGTAAAAATACTTTAATTTAAGTTCAACAAATTAAATTAAATTTAATTTAAGAAGATCCTTAAAAAAGGCATGATACTTTTTTCTCTCTCTAAACCTCTGCCATGGCGTGGAAACGAGCAAACAAAGAATTGGCTAGAGTGCGAGAAAGTTAAGAAAAATCACAGATTCGTGAAGGGATTGAGATGGCGAATCCATTGAACACGGTTTCAAAGACAAAATCGAGAATGATTAGAGAAGGTATTCTGCAATTGAACTTCGATTATTCTGATGAACTGGAGAATCTCATTCTATCTCCAGCTCAATCGATTCAGGAGCTGATTCAGGGATCCAGGCAAAAATCTCAGCTAAATGAGTGGTTGAATGTAATGGCTACTCCTTCGGGTCAAGGTACTATTCGATTGGAGGAAAACAGAGCACTTGAGGTTGAGGTAAGAAATCCGATTAAACCTCGATTGCAACTATCATCTGATGATGTTTCTGTTGAACTTGATTAATGGAAGTTAGGGTTTGTTGCTTATGTCATGGGTAATAAACCTTATTTGAATGCTTTTATGTGTTTATGTAAGAGAATTTGGGGGGATAAGAATGTTGATAAGGTGATACCACTATAAAAGGGTATTTTCCTAATTCGATTCCTGAATAATGAAACGAAGGAGAAGGCATTGAATGTTGTTCAAGTGTTGTTTGATAAGAGACCTATGTTCTTGAAACAATGGGAAGATGGGATGGAATTGAATGTAGCTGAATTTACGAAGGTCCCTGTTTGGGTGCATCATCCAAATTTACCTTTGAAGTATTGGGGATAATCATGCCTAGAAAAGATTGTAAGCTTAATTGGGTCTCCTCTTAAGCCTGACTCAGCTGCTCAGATGAAGGATAGAGTGGCATATGCTAGATGATGAAGGTGGATGTTAATGGGGATTTTGAAGAGATTATTGAATTTGAGTCTAAAAATGGGACTTGCATTCAAAAACAAGTTGTGTTTGAATGGAAGCCATTAAAATGTGAGGTATGCCAGAATATAGGTCATGGAGCTAGAGACTGCAAGAATGGAAAGAAAGTCTGGAGACCTAAGATAGTACAGGAGCAGGACAAAGTGGAACCTGCTACGCAAGTGGAGAAACCTGTGGAGAGTGTGAGTGTTCAAGGGGAGAAAGAAGGATGGATAGACACTCATAGGAAGGCAGCAAAAGTGCATAAAATTATTGTCCAAGTTCCTAGCAGAAATACCTTTGGCAGCTTAAAGAAGGAAGGACTGATGTTTAGCAACTTGAATGGGATAGATGATGAAAATTTGGGTGTTGCTCCTGGAAATGGAGTGGAGATAGACTTAGATCATGGATAAGATACTAATATGGAATGTTACGGGCTTGAATAGCCCTGATAAGTAAAAGGAAGTGAACTTTTTCCTTTTGCAGAATAAGATTGGTCTTTGCTGGTTATTACAGACTAAGATCAAGGCTAAGAATTTTCCTAAGATTCATAACTCAATGCTGCAAGGTTATTGTATTTCAACTAATTTTCAGTGTTGCAAAGGAGGTAGAATCTTGATTGCTTGGTTACTAGGATTCTTCCAAGTGAATACTGTAAATATTACTAAACAATACATTCACATGTCTGTAAATAATATTGTTGTGAATAGGACTTTTTGCATGATTGTGGTTTATGGAATGAATGATGCTATTGAAAGGGTTGAACTCTAGAAAGGCTTGAATTCTATAAGTGATAACATGACTTCTCTTTGGGTGGTTTCTGGAGATTTTAATTGTCCATTGAATTTTGAAGACAGATTGGGCAGCAGTATCACTAATGGTGAGATTGCTGAGTTTAGGGACTGTGTGCAGTACTAAGGTGTTACAGACTTGAATAAGGTAGGTACTTGGAATAATAAGCAGAATGGGGAGAGTATGGTTTACAGCATAATTGATAGAACTCTCATAAATGAAGACTGGGCTTGACAGTTTCCTTGCTCTTATTTTCATTACATGCCAGAAAAGTGGTTTGATTATTGTCCTGCCATGTTGCATCTGTTTACACAAGATAATGAGAGGAGAAAACCTTTTAGATTTCTGGATATATGGGCAGATCATGAGAATTTTGGGGACATTGTTAAAGGGGGTGTGGAATACCAATGTTATTGGTATCCCTATGTATAGAATGGTGGTGAAATTGAGAAAGTTAAAGTATGAATTGAGAAAGTTGAATAAGATGTCATATGCTGATTTGGATATCAAATACATGAAGCTAAGATCTGAGCTCGAAGTTATTCAAAGGAAGATGCAATCTGATGTTGAGAATGAGGATTTGAGAGCTTTAGAGCTAATCACCTTATAGGAGTATGGGAGAGTCAGGAAAGATTATTTTGGTTCTCTGAGACAAAGAGATAAAATTAATTGGTTGAAGGTGGGAGATGAGAATACTACCTATTTTCATAGAAGCATAAAGCTTAGACAATTTAGAAAGAAATTTGTGGCTGTTAAAGATGGAAAGGGTGTTGATTGTAATACTCCAGATTCTATTACTCAGCTTTTGTTGAGTATTATAAAGCTCAGGCACAGGAAATTTTTCAGAAGGGAAGTATTCCGAGTGATGAGCATGCTCAGAATCTTTGTGTTCCTTTTTCAAGGAAGGAAATCAGGGATGCTGTTTTTTCCATTCCAGGTGACAAAGCTCCAGGTCTAGATGGGTATTCTTGTACCTTTTTCAAGAAAGCTTGGAGTGTTGTGGGAGAGGAGTTTACATATGTTGTTCTTAGCTTCTTTGATAATGGCAAATTACTTAAAGAAGTGAACTGCACCACTTTGACTCTTATCCCAAAGGTACATCAGCTAAATTTTGTAATGGAATTTAGGCCCATAGCTTGTTGTAATGTAGTATACAAATGCATTACAAAGCTAATATGCAAGAGATTGAAGGGTGTGCTTCCTGATTTGATCTCTCCTAACCAAACTAGTTTTGTTGAAAATAGGCATATCTTACATAATATCAGTATTATCCAAGATCTTGTGGCTCATTATGGGAGGAAAAGTGCTCTAAGTAATTGCTTGTTGAAAGTTGACATCAAAAAAAGCATATGACTCAATGAAATGGGATATTTTGAAGGAGATGTTGCAAGCTTTGAATTTTCCAGAGAAGTTCATTCATTGGATTAAGACATGTGTGACCTTTACTTCCTTCTCTTTGAGTATCAATGGTGGATTGGAGGGATTCTTTCAAGGCAAGAGAGGGATAAGGCAAGGAGATCTAATGTCTCCTTTTTATTTGTGATATGCATGGTATATCCAACCAGAATTCTTTAGCTTGTGGGAGATAACAGAAATTTCTCTTTTCATACAAAATGTAGAAGCTTGAAGTTAAATCATCTGGTTTTTGCAAATGATTTAATTTTGTTTAGTAAGGGTGTTAAAAGCGCAGTTGAGATGCTTATGAGATGCCTTGCTACTTTTGCCGCTGCCTCAGGTTTGGTTGCTAGTAGTGGAAAATCAAACATTTACAGCTGCAATTTTAATCCTAGTACTAAAAGGGAGATTATTTTGAATTCTGGCTTTAAGGAAGATTTTCTTCCTTTTAAGTACTTAGGGGTTAATGTCAGCTCAAGGAAGCTGAATAAGACTGATTGCCAGGTGCTAGTTGATAAAATAACAGCAAGAATTAGGTCCTGGGGTTCAAGAACTCTTTCTTATGCAGGGAGAGCTCAATTGGTGAATTCTGTCCTATTGACTTTGCATTCCTATTGGGCTAGCATCTTTATTCTACCTAAGAGTATTCTGGATGGTATTATTGCTGTCTGCAGAAACTTTCTTTGGGATAGGAAACATGTTTCTCATAGGACCCGTCCTATTGCTTAGGACATTGTATGCAGAAGTAAGAGACAAGGTGGGCTAGGGATTCATGACTGTCAGCTCTGGAACTTAGTAGCTTTAGGAAAGCAGATTTGGAATATTGCAACGAAGCAGGATAGTTTGTGGCTTAGATGGATTGACCACTTATATATGAGAAATAGATGTTGTATGAGAAATAGATGCTGGAAAAGAGTTCCTTGTGCCAAAACTGCTAGATGGAACTGGAAGCAGATTTGGCGCTGAAGGAAAGGTTTAAAGTGGGTTATATTGGTCAAAGTTGGCTTGCAAATGAGAAAGGGTATACTGCTGCTAGTGGGTACAGATGGCTAAAAGCTGACTTGCCTGATATTTCTTGGTGTTTCTGGATTTGGAACAGGTTTAACATCCCCAAACATAGTTTTATTGGGTGGATGATTATGTGGAGAAGAATAAGAGTGAGATCTAGACTAGCTCAGAAGGATTGCCCTCTATGTTCACAGCATGAAGAAACTGTTGATCATCTGTTTTTTGATTGTCAGTACAGTCAAGCTTGCTGCAGTGCTATGGGGTCGATTTTGGGTATGCAGAATCCAAAATCTTAGGAAGATTGCAACTCAAATCTTCTGAGTATTACAGGCAGATTCAAGAGAAGAGTTGCTCACAGCTGCTACACTGGTATGCTATATGTGATATGGCAGCAAAGGAATAAGGCAATTTGGGATAAATGTTTGCAGAGTCCTCAAAGAGTGGTGAAGAATCTCTTAAGAGACATCTACAATATACTGACTCAGATCATGCCTATGAAATCTAGTAGGAAGAATAGGGATTGGATTAAGAAACTTATTGTGTAGTTTCTTTTGTTTTTGTCTATTTTGTTCGAGTTGGGTTGCTGGATGACTTTGGGGCTATTAGGCTGTTTGTTTTTGTGTTCCTTGTATCTAGGGGACTTTGTTTGTGTGTATTCGTTTTTTGGTGATTAATAAAAAAAAAATTACCTTTTTTCAAAAAAAAAAAAAAAAAAGTTCAATAAAAATAATTTCAAGTTAATAATAAATATCCTATAAGTTTTGAATAGTTCTTTAAAGTAAGATCCATTTATAATTATATTTAATTTTTTTCAAAAAAAAAAAAGAAAAATACAGAATTGGTAGAAATAAGTTTCAATCAGTATGTAAAAATAATTTTAGTATGTATAAAATAATTTCAAGTCTATAATAACATAGCTATCTATTTAGAAACAAAACTACAAAAACTACACTGTATCGTATGTCTAAATATCCTATATTATCCAAATGGATCATATGACCGTAATTAACATTCAAGTCAAAATATTCATCTTAAAATTTTATCAACAATCTGGGCATCGCCCGGGCACAAAACTAGTATGTATATAAAGGGGAGTTTTTTCCCAAGATTGTAGAGAGCCACCTAGAATTCTGATTTTTTTTAATTTATTACGGCGCCATGTAGGATTAGTATTTTTAGAGCGTTACGTGTAGGATTATGCCACATAGGATTATTATTTTAATGTGCCACGTAAGATTAATTTTTTTTTTTTAATTTATTATAGAAATAAAATACTATCTTTTTAAATTGGAAATTTTATCTAAGAGAAAAGAAACAATTTATTTTATTTCGTATACATATACATACATATATATATATATATATATATATATATATATATATACATATATATATATATATATATATATATACATATATATATATATATATATATATATATATATACTATTGTATTAAACTTAAAAAATGAAATTCACGTTCGATTGATATTTTAAAAAAAATGGATTAGATAAAAAAAATAATGAAAATACGACAAGTGATTATAAAAAAATACTAATAAAAAAAATGAAATCACTTCAACTAAAAGAAAAATATCAATTTTCTCTCAAAAAAAAAAATATCAGTTTTGGATTAGATACAAAAAAATAAGAAAAAAACATTGAAATTAAAATAATATCCTTTCTCATTTTCTAGCAAAAAAAAATGTTCATCATTTATTATATATTCGTTTAAAAGATTAAATTCTACGTTAACAAAATTTATCATAGCTAATAATAAACTTTATAACCACTTTAAATCCATTATTTTTTAAATCCTATATAAACTCATCTAATGTCCAACACGATGAACAATGTTCATAATTAAGAAGTCAATTCAGTCATAAGTGTTAATTTTGCAAAGGGGCGGGTTTAATTATGCAACTTATCTATCGACACGATCAACGATTGATTTACAAAGGATGATGGAAGCTTGGAAGATTATATTTTCACCGGGTGTTCACAATTTGAAAAAAAAATTTGGTTAAACAAATACATATAGTTTCACATATTTTATTTTCATTCTATTTTTCTTCAAGGATTAGTTTGTATTGTTGTATAAACAATAATTTACAAAATATACCGTATTTATATATGCGTGAACCTTTATTGTGTATAAGATTAAAAAATAGTAATATTATGTATTTATATTTTGTTATTATGATTGAATATTAAATGTTAAAATTTAACTATTAATAGAAACCCGTGCATCGCACGGGCTTAAATCTAGTAAGTATTATATAGAAATTGATATAACTGTACCAAAAAAAATATTAGAAAGGGTCCAAGTTTTTCGATTTTTTTGATTGGTTGTTTTATTAAAAAAAAAAGAAAAATAATATATATATATATTTTTTTTTGGTTAACTAGAAGGGTCCAACTTTTTAAACTAAGGGTCTAACTTTTTGCTAACAATTAATTGGGATAAAAACACCCCAAATTTCAAATATAAATCTTCTAATATATAATCAAATTTCAAATGAAATCAATAAAATATGAATCTTTTTTATACACTTAGATTTCAAAAGAAGAATTTTTTTTTCCAAATTTATTTATTTATTATTTTATTTTATTATTTTTTTATTTTTTTGCATAACTGATATATCAAGTTATTGTGTTATTTTTTTGTGAGATTTTATCTCATTCTTATTTTTTATTTTTTTATAGTAAAAAAATTCATTAATAAAACTCATATGACATCTACAAAAGAGATTCGACTTTAACAAATACATAAGATATTGAATCAAATAAAAATTTATAAAAACTACGATCGTCGAGTAGATCTTGTATCGTGGAACATCTCCCACTTATATCGCTGGTAAATACAGCCTTGTTGGAGAGACAATCTAACGGTCCTTTGTAGCCATGAGGATGTTTTCCTTCTGATTCATCCAATTGTATTTGAAAGCTTGATAATTCTTGCGATCTCGCATAATTTTTCACTAACGAAATAATTTCACGACAATTCATTAGATCTAATATCATGGATTCAAACCTAAGAAAATTCTCCGCCAAAAAGAGGAGATAAACTTTGTCTTTCGTAGGAGGTCGAAAAATCCTTGTCTTTCGAAAGAGATCGGAAACCCTTTCTTTCAGGGAAGAAAAATTCTTCCCAAAAGGAGGAAACATTATTATAAACCTAAAAAAACTTTTACAGAAACAAGGATTGGGGCTTTCCACCGGTTAAAATCGATGGAAGCCTCTTAAAAAAAACAACAATGGAGGCTAGGGTTTAGGAGAGAGGAAGGAGGAACTCAATCAAAAGATTAAACTGATTAGTCATTTTTTATCTCATGCTTCTACGTACCCTTATTTTAGAAAATCCCAATACAACGAAAAATAAAAATGATTTTGTAAATAATTCTAATGTTATTTTTTTGATATAAAATTCTAATATTAGTTTTAGATGATAAAATTTTAACATTACTAATTACATACAAAACAATTCAAACTAATTTCTTGAATCAAATTAATTTGGAAAATTGGTATAAAAAAAATAAAAAATTGACAGTTATTATAAGCTGATGAATTTGGAATATTTCTATGACAATTATTAGGGAAAATTTTGCAATGACCACAATAATATTGTAGCCATTATAATCTTTAATTTCAATCTGGACCTTTAAAATTTGATATTAAATCTTGACCATTCATATTTGTATAAAATAAAAATAAAAAAATTAGTTTTATTTGAAATAAAATGAGTGATGATAATCAGTTGATTACTTCTAAAAGAAAGCCATAAAGTTTGTTTTCGAACCCTTTATTCCATAATCCATTGATTCGTTTGATTCCGAAACTCGACTTCTGTAAAATGTATTTCGTATAACAATAGTGTTGGTGATATTAATATTTGTGGGAAAGATGATACTGACTTACTGAGTTAAGGATAAAATATCTAATATTTCGATTCTCGATGATAATTTAACAATGGTAATTTGTTGTTGTACCATTAATGGAGATTGAGAGATTTGCTTGGTAGAGAAATCGAAACTGCTTGTATTTGGCGACAAAAACATGATATTTTTTTCATAAAAACAAACAGTTATTTTTAAAATATTTTTTTTTTTCATAGTCAAACAAATAAGTGAACAAGATTTATCCTTAAAATTTTAATGGTTGAGATTGAAAACAATTACAATGGTTACACATTTAGGGGGTGTTTGGTATCAAATTAGTAAATGTAAGGGAATGGAAACAAATTAGAAGGGGAAAGGGTAATATATAGTGTTACCCTTACTAGTTGTTTGGTATTACTAAGGAAACGTAAATAATTGTAATCAATCCCTTTCCTCTTGTTTGGCATAGATAACTTGGAAACAAATAGTTTTCCTTCTAATTTTTGATGTCTTGGCTAACTTTTGATATACATTATACAATGTAGAGCAACACTAATTACCATAATATACATATATATATTTTTTGAACCGATTACCATAATATATCATATGCTAGATATATAGGCAAAGTCACATAAGTTGTTGACTACAAAAGCATTGAAATTCTAGTATTCTCAAAAAAAAAAAAATAATAAAAAAAAAGTATTTAAAAACCATTAAAACATTAACTCCAATAACAACTTAGGACAAAACTTTCTACTTCTTCTTAAGAAGATCAATTGCATATTGTTTCTTCATATTAGTTGGAGCTTGATAGAAGATGATGAGCTTCATACGTCCAATACCTTTTATTTTTACCTCTACCTCGATTGCTTGCCTCACCCTTAGCTTGACTAGCCTCCATCTGAAAAATTAAAAACAAAAAATAAAAAACCAAAAATCAATTGAAGCTACTACTGACCTAATGCTGATTTTTTTAAAATAAAGACATCATTTAACAATCACCATTGAAAATGTTAACATACAAAAACATAACACCATAAAAAAGGTAGTGGTACAGATGCAATAAAGACTGAAAGGATAACAAGCAGACTAGTAGAGGTTATGAGATGTCAATACTTAAGAGTAAAATTATCGAGATTATGAGATTAATGAGTTTTTTTTTTTCAACAATAGATTTAAAAGGTACATAAATTTAATTAGCACCCAAAGATCCATCAATTGTGTCAAAAGAGGCTGGAGTGCCTAAGATGCATTAGTATTAAAGTGCCTTAGCAAAATTTCCTAGCCTATAACCATGAAGGCAATGAAGCACACTAGTACAAATCAATGAAAACTAGAAAATATAATGTCCAAGACAAAATCCTAATAGAAAATCTAGACCAATGAAGCCTTATGTTTCAATACAAGATCAATGTACACCAAACTTTACAATCAAAACAACATAATAGGATTAACTAATCTTGAATTGAGAATGATGGGATTACAACAATACATAAAAACACACTAATAAAACATTCTTTTAAATGGTATCTTTGACCTCTATATGGAGCAAGAAAACCCTCACAATTCGTATACCCCGCATCAGCCAAATAATAATTACCTTCAAAGTTATTGAAAAAAATAATTACTTCCAACCAAAACTAATAAAACATATACACTCACAAAAAAGGCCTTCACTTACCTCAAGGTACTCTAAAACCGTTTGGTCTAGAAAGAGCATTTCGAAGTACACGCATATCATGGGCCGAGTCTTCCCAACCAGGAAGAACATAAATAAATTGCATATTAGGTGCACAAACACCCAATACATTCATAGCAATCGTTCCTTTTCTTGTTCTATACTTTGGTCGTTCTTTTGAAGGCACATTTACATTAATGTAAGTCCCATCTAATGCCCCTAAACAATTCTACAAAAATAGAAAAAAATATTACTTACAAACAAGCAAAAATAAGAAAATCCTAGCAAAATTTAGGGGCTTTGAAAATATCAATACCTTGAAGGATTTCCACCTTTCATCTTCACAATCATCCAATATTTGTGTGGGATTGTAAAGTAGTACTTCATGCAACTTGAGAAAAGCCCTTAGACAAAGGTGAAATTGTCGGCTCACGGTTTCTCCACTTCTATAGAAGTAATGTCCAATAGACCTATTCTTCTTATGATGAGCCAACGTGTATAAAAACATGGCTACTATCTCTTGAAGCGACATGTTTTTGTTCCACTCAAACCCCCAATGTCTCTAAGCATCTCACAAATAATATTGAAAGTTTTTCTATTAACGCGAAGCTCACTCTTGCATTTCACATCACTCTCCTATAAAGCCCTCTCAATACTAACATCCGTAACAATTTTTTGTTTCTTTTCCTATCTTTTATTTGAACCCCCCTTATTGTAACAACGCTAATTATATACCACATCCAATACATCATCAACATAATAATAACCATTGCAATTACTATTTGTATTTGTTTTAGCTTTTTCTTCCTTATAGAATGCATAAGTCGAGGCATTGTACAAGAAACACAGAAAATAAATGGCAATTGAACCTGATAAATGGCAAAACAATAGTTATATCAATCTCTAGTTAATCAAATAACAAATATTGTCAACCAAATCATGAGGAGTAAACTACTCAAGAAACAAGCAAAATTAAGCAAAAAACCATGGTCTATATACTCAAAATAGTAGCAGTAACTTTCTCACTGTAATGCATACACATATGGAGCAAAATAAGACATGTATAGCACCAGAAAACTATGGTCTATATACTCAAAATAGTAGCAGCAACTTTCTCATCGTAATGCATACATATGGAGCAAAATAAGACATGTTCAGCACCACCAATAATCTATTACATTCATAACATAGATATAATTACCAAATGAAGAAATTATACAAAACTCCAATGTTTGTTAAATAATTTCAAGTGAATTGAAGCTTAAAACAATAACATTCGTAGCTGAAACTTGAAGTAATTATAATAATACAATCAAAAATCAAACAAAAACAACTTTCTAAGATTGCAATTGAACACGCAAGTTATAAATTCATACCAAAAAACGCAAAAATTGATACTACATGAACCCTAGAAATTGAACGAAAACAACTTTCTGAAGTTACAATTGAACACGCAAGTAATAAATTCATACCAAAAACGCAAAAATTGATACTACATGAACCCTAGAAATTGAATGAGAGAAATGAAGATAGCAAACCTGTGATAATTTCTGAAGATTTGCAGAAGAAAATCGAAAATTTAGGAGTAAGATCTGGAGAATTGCATCTTCCTCGTAGAATCGTCGAAATTTTTTGGGAATTTTCAAAAAATTATCAAGCAAGTGAAGAGGAGAGACAAGAATTTTCTTTATTTTTTGTGTTAGAGGAAGGAAAGGGGATTTGTTTCCTCACCTATTACAGGGGAAACAATTGGGTGGATTGGGTTACCCCTAACTAACGGTTTGTGTTACTTTAGTCCGTAACCAAACACAATGTAACGGAAACGCTAATATGATTCCGTTTCCATCCCTATAAAATCCCTATATCAAACACTCCCTTATTGTAGCCATTGAATAGTCTTCCCAATTATTAATTGTTGTTATAATTAAACTCAATTATTAGCTTAGGGGACTAACTTATTTGTTTAGGGGTATAACTTTTTAACAAGGGTCTAACTATTTTTGCATATGGTTAACGGTGAGCTAAAGTGAGGTTAACTCATCGAAAATTCCACCGTAGACCCCAAATACTAAAGTAAAAGAAAAACTTGGACACCAAACACAATGTTTTGCAATAAGTTGTAACCCATTTATTATAGAACCTTTTTACTTTGTAATATGAGAAGTACATAAGGTACAAGTCAAATCTAGCTCTTCACTTGATTTCTGCTAAAAAAAAAATATTTTTAATAAACTAAAATTATTTATACCGATTAAATTAAATATATTTTTAGTAATTTTCTATTACGAAGTATATTTGAAAATTACACCGTAACTTTCAAACCGCACATTAATCAACTTTAGGCAACAAGATATAGTAATTCTTAATCTCACTTATTGGACATTATTTAATTAAAATAAAATGTACACAACATGTCTAGGAACAATAACTTTTTGTGTTTAGAGAGTCATAAGGGCAAATGATGAGAATCGATTCCAGGATCTCCTGAAATCGAAACGGAAGCTCCAACCACTACTTAAGCTACCCCCCACTCTCAGGAACAATTACTTTTTGTGCAAACTGTTATTTTAGCGATTTTGACATGTATTCCCAAATTAATAATTTAATACTATTTTAGAAAATATGTTAGATACTTATTTAACGCTCTAAGGAAGTTCATTAGCAAGATCCTTATATAAATAGTTCAAAAAAAAAAAAACTAGTATAAATTATCGCTATTGAAATAGAGGTGGGCATGGGCCGTGCCGGCTCGCGGGCGGCACGGGCCCAGCACGAGATTGGCCCTGCCCGGCACGACACGGCATGGTGACCGAGGAGTGGGCCGTGGGCCGTGCTATGAACACGATTTCAAGAATTCGACAAGCGCACGACACGAACCCGCTGGCGGCACGATAGTTTGGCCCTCCAGCATGGCACGCCAGACACGACCATAAAATAACATAAATAATTATAAAGAACTATAATAATAATTATAAGAATAATAAAATAAACAATAAAAATATAAAAATAAAAAAACATAAATATAAATTAATAAATTATTTAAGTAGTATATCCATTTTAAAAGTTGCTCAAAAAAATTAAAAAAATTATAGGCCTGATATCCGGCACGACACGGCACGCCAGGCACGTGGGCCGTGCCGTACCGTGGAGTAAGGTATATTAAATGATGGCCCGGCACAACACGACACGTCAAGATGCAAGCACGGCACGGCACGACACGAGCCACCATCAGACACGGCCCGTGACAACCGAGCAGGTTACGTTGCCCACCTCTAATTGAAAGTGAGAAATGTATACTCCGTACAAGTGAACCTATAATCATGAGTTCATGACTACATATGATGTCATTCAAGAGTCATGACACTCCATCCGTTCTTTTTAAGTTTAACACTTTTTCTAGAAAAAGTTAGAAAACGTAGGGAGCAGGGATGGTAATATTAAGTAGATATCCGCTAACTCGCTCCACCCATTTAAAATAAATGTACGAAAATCCGAATTAAATGAATGAGAAACGGGTGACGGATAAAGCGGGTGATGATGATACTTTTTTCACCCGCTAATCATCCACCTACCCGTTTAACATACATTAAATTTTTAATCTAAGAATTTTAATAATAAAATATGAAATGTATAAGGTTATTACTTGTTTTTTTGTTGCAAATTAATTTTTCAAACAATACATTGTTATTATTTTCTTTTTTATGAATAAAATAAAAAAAAATTATTGTATAAATAATCGAAAATTAGAGTTTATGTGAGTTTTTTTTTTCACTTTAATACTCATTTATTAGTCATCCGCTCCACCCGTTTCATCCACGGATGATGGACGGATGGATATGGATGATGGGTGAAGCGGGTGATGGATGAATGTGGATAGAGCGATTAGAATAATGGATGGATGCGGGAACTCTACCGATCCGAATCCGATCCATTGCCATCTCTAATAGGGATTACCTTCCTTATAAGTTTGGTTGTACGTGGCTAATATAAACAAAAAAAAACAAAACATTTTGATCGATTTTGCTCTTATCCCTCCATGTGTTGGTCTATTCCAGTCAAGATTTATATAGGTTATTTAAATAGGAGCTCTGATCAGCACATTCAATTATTTAATATACTTAACTCATAAGATCAGCTACTAATTAATGATCCTCCTTAAGACCAAAAAAAAAAAAAAAAAAAAAAAACAAAAAAAATAATTGTAAATTAGAGTTTGCTATGCTGCATCATCATGCTCCATTTTCAGCAGTACAATTGAAAGTTTGCCGACAATTTTGGTAATGCCTAAAGAGTAAAGGTCTTAAAGCCTCCTCCTAAAAGAGGAAAAGAATATATACCTATTTAAGATCAGAGAAGAAATTCATGGTATGAGGCAAATAAAGGGACAAGGACAAATGAATGTTAGGTAGTTAAGATGTGACATAATATTAAGGAAAATTTGGTTTTAATAATCCTAATTTTGAGCAATTTTCCTTTTATAATTCTAATTTTTTATTATTCTTTAATAATCCAAACTTTAGAGGATATTTTCTTTTATCAAGCTCAACCGGCCAAAAACTAATCAACAACTTGTTATACCAGGTTACATGAACACGTGTCAACACACGATTGGTCTAATACAATAAAAAAAAAATTAAAAAATAAAACCACCCACCCCAACCCCACTGTCGGCAACCACCCCTCGTTAGCCGCACACAACAATCGGAACCACTCCCTTCCCCCCACCCTCCCCCCAAAAAAACACTGACTTCCCTCCCTTAGCCCCATCCTGAAACCACATAGATACCAACCCCAGCCACCCAAAACCCCCTTAAAAACCTAGGTTCAGGTTTGGTGGTTTAATTTTGAGGGAAAGGAGTGAGGTTGCGGTGGTTTCGAAGGAAAAAAGGGACAGGTGAATCGGTGGTTTCGGGGGAAGGGGTAAGGTTGCAGGTGGTTTTGGGGGAAAGGGGTGGTTTCTGGTGAGGATGGGGAAGGAGGGTATCCATGGGGATGTGGTGGTTGGTGGATAGGTTGCCAGTTTTTTGATTTTTTTTACCAATTAGCTAGCATTCGACATGCGGCAAAGTTTTTTCTTAAAAATTTTTAATCTTTTCATCTGGTCGCTGGTCATCTGGACTATAAAAAAAAATGCACCCTAAAGTTGGGATTATTCCAGAATAATTGAAAGTTATTGGGATTTTAAAAATAAAATCGCCCAAAATACGAGTTATTCAAAGCCAATTTTTCCTTATTCTAATTAGGAATGTCTAATACTCTAAGATCATCAAAATAGAAATTTTGAATAGGAATAACCTCTATTATGTGACTTGAAAGGATAATAATCACAGTAAGGCCCTGTACACTATATCGTAAAAAAAATGTACAGTAAAAATAATTTCAGTTTATTGAAAATAAAGTTTAATTCAGTAAAAAAAAATTAAATGAGTAAAAATACATTCAGTTCAATTAAAATCAGTAACTTTCAAGAAGAAATATTATAGAGAATCAATAAAATAATATCAATTCAGCAAATATAATTACAATTCAATAAAATTAATTTTAGTTCAACAAAATTAATTTTTAGTTCAGTAAAATTAATTTTTAGTTCAGTAAAATTAATATCAGGTTAGTAAAAATAATTTTAGTTCAATGAAAATAATGTCATTTCAGTAAAATTAATTTTGGTTTAGCAGAAATAAGGAGAAGTTGTACTGTTCACTTTATTTTCACTTATTTCAGGTCTAATAAGTTCAGATTATAAGAAGTTCAGTTCAGGAAAAATAAGTTTTAATAAGTTCGTTTCAGGAAAAATAAGTTCTGTTGATAAGGGTTACCCAAGTTCAAATCCCAATTAAAAAAAGTTTTGATAAGTTCAATTAAAGTTAGATAAGTTCAGATAAATTCATTTAAATTCAGATAAGTTTAGATAAGTGAAAATCATGTGATTAGAACACACCCTTAAGCTACATGTAGTGATATGTGTTGGCTATTTCTATGTAGCTTAGTTTATGGCAATGGACCCACTTTAATTTCATCTCCTATTCAAGAAAGGATAACTAACATATAAGGGTGTCAATTCGGGTATACGGT